ATTTGGTCTTCATCTGATTTCCTGGCACACAACTCCAAAAACCCATGGAATCCCCAGAGTGCTGAGTGTCTTTTGTATGGTAATGAGATGGCTGGTAGCTGGGGACCCCCAGACAGCTTCATAATAGGGGCTTGCCACTAGAAAGATCAAAATATGGTTAGAGGGTTGCTACTTTCAGCCCCACTCCCCAACTTCCAGGCAAGAGAGGACTGAAGGTTGATTTGGTCAGCAATGGCTAATGATGTAATCAATTGTGCCTATGTAATGAAGCCTCCATAAAAACCAAAAAGGGTTCAGATGAGCTTCCAAAATGCTGAAAACAGAGGTGCCCGGAGGGTGACATGTCCAGAAAGGGCATAGAACCTCCTTCCCACATACCTTGTCCTATGCATCTCTTCCGTCTGGATGTTCACTTATATTCTTTAAAATATCCTTTGTAATAAATGAATAAATGTTAATAAAGTGTTTCCCTGAGTTTTGTGCACAACTATAGCAAATTACTGGAACCTGAGAAGGAGGCTGTGGTAACCCCTGGTTTATAGCCAGTAGATCAGAGAAGTACAGGTCACAACGTGGGGCTTGCAGTTGGCACCTGAAGTGGGAGGCAGTCTTGTGGGACCTGTGGCATCTGACTCTAACTCCAGGTAGACAGTGTCAGAATTGAATTGAATTATAGGTCAACCAGTTGGTGTCCACTAGAGAACTGATTCCTTGATGTGTGGAGAGAAACCCCCATGCATCTGGTGTCAGAAGTATTGTTTTGAGAGATGTATAAGAGTAGAAAAACACTTTATTTTTTTCCTATCTCTATAGGGTGTACAAAAACAAAGGAGGGGAAAAGTAAATTTCAGACATAGAATATCATTCTGAATGACTCATTGTCAATTTTCAAGGCCACATTTATCCAAAATCATACTAGATGCCCTAGGGAAACAAGGCTTTCTATTTGAGTTATAACTATAAGAACAGCTGTCTTTTACTGAATGCTTACTATGTACCAAGCACTGTTTTTAATTCTTTATTTGAATAAACTCATCAAATCCTAACAATGATCCTAGGGAATTTAGACACAAGGGAACTGACGCACAGAGATGTCAGATTATGTGTCTGACGTCACACAGCAGGTGGTAGCCCAGTATCTAAGTATCCATGAAAACCTAAACAAGGAGTCAACCTGAAATTCTTACCTTCGTGAACTGGGTTGTGATAATTTGCTAGGGCACACCTTTTTCTGGTTAAGCCATTGCTCTTAAACTCCAGGAGAGAAAAAAAAGAAAATGTTCAGACGATGACTCTTGTTAGATGTAGGATACTTAAAAGTGGGCTGATGGGCTTTGTTCTTCCACTATGGCTGGCATCACAGCATAGTGGTTAAAAAAGCATGAAATTTAAAACTGGAGGCCTACGTTTGAATCCTGGCTCCATTACTTCCTAGCTGTGTAACCTCTGGCAAATTATTTAACCTTTCAGAGCCTCACTAAATTTTTACAAGACTTTGGTTAATATACATAAAGCTTTTAGCAAGTATAACTAGTATGAACATTCAAGTGACCAATATTTAATAGAAAGAGATCACTTTGAATATGGTACCTGGTTGGCAGCCCAGAGAATTGGTTTTTTTCCTTATTCCTAAATACAAAACTCAGAAAAAATGAGGTTAAAATGAAAATTAGTAAAACTGAAATGATAACAGACAGCCAAGCCATTCCTAAAACCTAGGAGGAATTTTCTCCAGTTATAAATTCAATTGAACTGGATTTTAAAGTACAACCCATGACCCATACATGCCAAGACTGCCTGAAAATGGGAAGAAAAACTATAACTTTTCCTGAAAGAATAGAAAGTATCCAGCAAACAAAATTTTGGGCAATCATAATACTGCACGAGGCAGAGTTTCCCCTTGAGAATCCGGTAGGAGTGATGAAGTCTCTCTCCTGAAAAGGCATATGTGCACATACACAAAATTTCAAGGGGTCTGTGGGAAGCTCTTCAAAAGACCCTGTAGAGCTCTCTAGGCACCAACTTAAGAACTAATGTTTCCTGTGTAGGAAATCATTGTTGAGGTACCAGAATTTACTCCTCACTCCCCATCATCAGCACTTACACACACACACACACACACACACACACACACACATACATCTCTAGATACCTCCCCATCTCATTTGTTATATCCTGTCAAAAATAGCAACCCTTAGAAAATAACTGAAAAAGTAGCTTTGGAAGGATTAACTAATATGAGCACAATCACTGGTTACTGTGACAGAGGCAGCTCTCCTGCTGGTTTGTACTGTTGCTTACAGCTTTCATCGAGGTTATAGGTTCAGAGTATCCCAATGGCAGGTGGCAATGAGGAAGGATTTAAGATCCCACCTCAATTCAGCAGAGCAGTCTCAGACGAAAGAAAGCCTCTGAAACTAGGGGGCTTTGCCAGAGGTCTCCTCTTTCCCAGGACACTGATCCTTTACTTTGGCACTTTAGTGTTTTCTGTGGACCTATGTTATTGAACATTTATTTGTAAATGAGAAAAACTCTAGATTCCCAGTTTAACATAAGCAGGTTGCATGGAGTGCCCTTGAACCCTGAATTCTAATTGTCTAGATCAGGGGTCCTCAAATTTTTTAAACAGGGGGCCAGTTCACTGTCCCTCAGACCACTGGAGGGCCGTTGGAGAGTGCAGCGCACATTCCACACATGCGCACTGTGGGCCCGGCACGAGTTGGCTGCTAAGCAGGACAGGCAGCGGTGGCAAAAACACCCAGCGGGCCAGATAAATGTCCTCGGTGAGCCACATGTGGCCCACGCGCCATAGTTTGAGGACCCCTCGCAGATTCTGGGAAAGTTACCTGCTCAGATCCTCTACAACTTAAAGAAAAGTCGGTGTGTACAACTCCTTGGCAAATTCTTGGTAGAAATAGAGCATCCTTTCACAAAAGAATCTAAAGGAAGCTTAAAAGTAAACAATATCATAACTATAAAAAACAGTATATAAAAAATAAAATGAATAGCTATCTATTCTTTGAAAAAAATAAAAATAAATTTGCCAAAATATAATTGTATTTTGTTTTTGAAGGGTGAGATTTAACAGTGAAAAATCAGTGTTAGTCAATGGAATTAAGTTTAAATGAAATGGAAAGCCACACATAAAGCAAAGAAATACAAATAAGCTATAAAGTTTGCTGCTATGAAGATTCTTAATTTTGCTAAATAATTACCAAAGTTATGCACACTAAAGTTCACAATTTTGGACATGAAGTTGTAAATGTTCGTAAACTCTCAAAAGAGTTTCATTTTGCCTTCTTTGAGCAATACTTGATCAAGAAAAGGTTACTTTTCTATTAAAGAATAATATTGAAGCAATATAGGCCAATAATTATTTACCTATTTACCTGTCAAAGTGACAATAAGTCATATGTTAAAATATGTGAACTTCAAATTAGGGAAGAACAAAATATACTGTAAAATATTTCTATGAATTCTGAGCAAAGTGTGGCTTAATTTATGAATAGTCATCTTAAAATTAAGCATATATATAAATTCCAAAAGGCCAGAAAGATGGGAAACACTGAGTGATTAATCAATAAGTTCCTTGCTGTGGCTTCTTTTTTAAAATGCCAATATATTTCACTTTAGGAAACCCTGTATTTTCCTTCAATTCTGTGCTGCTAATAATTAATTCATTTTGCTTACACGGCAGCCAGCATCAAATCATGGTCTCCATTTCTTGGTAATAGATTCTGCCACAGGCAATATGCTATGCCATAACCTCAATTACAACTTACAAAGGAGAAGACTGCACTTATTTTCTGCTGGAGCTGCTATTTTGTCTTAAATGAAATTTTGTATCGGTGATGGGGAGCACCATTGTAATGGGAACTAGTGGGCCCCAAACTATATTGAGTGTATGTAAAAATTCATTTCAACTCAGGATCGAAGAATGAAAAATCCATTGACATTAAACGGATGGTGAAAGATGACTAATAAAAAAATTCAATTATAGTAGAATAACAGTGGTAGGCACAATTCTAATATTATCATTAAAAGTGAGAAACTCTAACCAAAAAAATCTTTGTACAGATTCTAACAGACTGTAACATTAGTTATTTCTTTTGAAATCACCAGGGGAATGTGTATAGTAAGAGAAAAATAAAGAAACAGAGATACAGAGATAGAGACAGAGATACTCATTTGTAATACAAATTTACAAGGATATCAGATGGAACAATTATTATTTTGTCTCATCATTATTTACTTTATAAAAATATGAATATTCCATGTCTTTTTAATATAAAAATTATTATAATTTACATCTATATTAACACTCGGAATGTGTTATATGTATGAGTCCAAATTAAAAGACATAGTACATGTGGCTGAATGTGCAAGCACATATGTTACTGGTGTGTGTTAAGGAAAGCAATGGTTTTAATTCTTCTGAACTTCCTTCTGAAGTTATATAGCACAACAGAATATTTAACAATGACTACACAGTGCCACGGATCTTTAAATCTTCCTTTAAGAAAAGTATTTAACTATAAATGGGACACTCAATTACAGTAATGATGATGTCCGGAAGCATGTGACAACCATATCCAAGTCTTTTCCACTTCAATTTTTACCTCAGAATTCTCCCACTAGTGACCTGGATTCCTGTCTTCTATGGTTTGAAAGCATTTTGCCCAGTAAAGGCAAATGCTAATAGGATCATGTACTAAAAGGAAACTCAGGGACATGCTATCTCAGGCTTCATCTGTAGGTACATCACTCAGTTCAGAGTATGTGACATCATGGTTGATGATGGGCTGAGATGCCCTTGTTAACCACTCACAAGCTCCGTAATTTGATAAAGACATATACAATTAATTCTGTTCCATTCTGATGTTTCCGGGACTTAATTTTTTTTGTTTGTTTTTTTTTGAGATAGAGTCTTGTTCTGTTGCCCTGGCTGGAATGCAGTGGCATCATCATAGCTCATGGCAACCTTAAACTCCTGAGCTCAAGTAATCCTCCTGCTTCAGCCTCCTGAGTAGCTGGGACTACAGGTGTGTGCCCACCATGCCTCGTTAGTTTTTCTATTTTTAGTAGAAATGGGGTCTCGCTCTTGATCAGGCTGGTCTGGAACTCCAGACCTCAAACGATCCTCCCACCTCGGCCTCCCAGGGTACTAGGATCACAGGCGTGTGCCACCATGCCCAGTCCTAGAACTTAATTATTTTGAAGTCCTTGAAGTCACTGTTATTGACCTGCTGTACCCTTGGTGGGTGAAAAATAAGAGAGAAGTTTCTAAGATTGCATCTTTTGGAAAATCAAAAGGAAAACTATCAGAAAAATAGAACTGCGAGCTATAAAAGGAAAGCACTGTGATTCTCTGTGTTAATCAACTGTGTGTGTTTCTGTGTCTGCCTTTTGCGTTCTTTTTTCATAGAATAGTAGAGATGTCCAGTTGGAAAGGCTGTTACACATCACCAAGTTCAATCACCTTACTATCACAGGTGAGGCTGAAACAGTAGCCACCATATAATAGCAGTCTGCACAGTTAACTAGGTTATGGGTAAGCATACGTGAAATTCCTTCTGGGAACCCTAAATATGCTTGGTTTTTCTGATGGGAGATATTTTAGAAATATGCCTTCCCAGATGGTCAATATATTTTGTCATTGTAGCTATTACTGTATGTAAAACTCCTGGTGTGAGAATATGTAAAATAAACAGATTACAGAAAGAGGTCTTCAATCATCTCTGAGAACCAACCAGGGCAATAGCTAAATTCTGTCTCTACAAACATTAAAAAAAAATAATAATTAGCTGGGCATGTCGGCATGCACCTGTAGTCCCAGCTACTACAGAGGCTGAGGCCAGAGGATTGCTTGAGCCCAGGATTTCGAGGTTGCAGTGAGCTATGTATGATCATGTGCCATGGCACTCCAGCCTGGTGACAGAGCGAGACCCTGTCTATAAAGAAAAAAAAATATTTCTGGGGAAAAACATTAACTTGGAAATTTTTAATAGATACACGAATATATTAATACAAAGTCTGCACAAATGAATATACAAAGTATGCCCTTTGACTACAAGAGATGTTAAAATGGACAAATTGGTCTAATGATCAAGGTCCATGGGACTAATGGAATTGGGGCCTGGGTCATGTTGCATAGACACAAAGTAGCTTCTCTAGGGAAAAGCACCAGTTTTTGTACAGTGGCATGTTGTCAGTGGTGGAGGACACAGGAAAAGTGACTTATCAGAGCCTTTTAACAACGCTGGGAAACCTATTGTAAAGCATTATCTCAACTAATTCTGAAAAAAAAATTATCCCAATTATGAAAAAGTTTTCCACCAGCTTCTTCATTTTAAAATTATTTTAAACAGGGATGTGATTACATTTTCTCCTTTCTATTATTTTGAAGTCAGAATTTCAGGAGAATTAGAAAAGTATGTGTTAAAAATTCCCTTTATATAAACATCAAGTAAAAAGAAAACTCACATATGTGTTGTCAAGCTAAATTATGGGTGAAATGGAGGACTGTAACCATATGTGTCCACATGCGTTGACTGTTGATTTAATTAGTAAAATTAGTCAAACCCACCATCCAAGCTATGTCAAATCAAACCAGTACAACCTGTGTTTGTTGGCAGAGCATTACAATTAAATAGGCTGAGATTATTTTCAATTCAAAATGATTCTGGAGTGGTAAGCATCCCCATAGCTACGGCTAACCTCCAAATGAAATTATAAAGTATTCTGGCCTTCGGAAAGAAAGGAGTCAACAAGTTTCCGAAAGTATTCAACAATAGTCTTATTGTATCCTGGAAGGACTTATTTTAATTAACCTGGAGAATCCCTTAATTGGTTGAATTTCTGGAGAAAATTTCCCAGTGGAACATTTATGTATAAGAAAAGACCTTCCACTGACTCTTAAATTGCATTGGGCAATCTAATCTCATCAGATACATCATATTGGAACAGTAAGGCTATGTAATGTATTGTTTTTGAAAAAAAACAACAGAAATAACCTTGAAATAACAAATGATTTCCACCTATAAAATCTAGGCAAACTAATTTCATCTATACTTCCATTTAAATTCATCAACACAGTTATAATGAATAAGAATTTCTTTAGGACAAGTTTTTTTTATACTTTATGCACTCTCTAAAATAGCTGGAATTTGAGGGGCACCAATTTGAGTAGTTAAATTTCTCTCTTTTAGACATAGAATTCTTTTTGGAGATAGCAGTTGTCTCTTTTAAAGTTTTATGAAATTTCTTTACCTGCTTATAAAGGATAACTAATTTGCCTAAGGTAGAACTAGCAAAGAAAAATCTTAAGACATAGAAATCAAGAAATCATTATGGCAACATCCTCCTAGATTTTGTTACCGGGTGCCATTTAGTGACCTCAGCAAAGGTGGTCATGATGGAATGCTTGTCTGAACTGTCGGCTTGACTAAGTACAATTCTAAAGCTTTCCATATTGGCATTTAATCTTTCATTTAGTCATGGAAATGTGAAGTTACCATTTTTAAAACTGCCAAGAGAAACTGAAAGAAAAAACTGTTATCCTTTTTCAGCTCCCAACGAAACCTTGCAAGATAATAGGAAGACGAGAATATTTCTTCCATTAACCCTTGACCCTATAAGTTAATGGTTTTTTGTTGCAAATATATCAACAAACAGGGCCCCAAGTGAGATTCTAACCCAGGGAGTAAGGTCTTTATAATTATATGGAAAAGCATGTTGGTGTGCCATACTGTTACCTATATACTTAACGTAAGAGCCAGTCTGCCCCACAAGCTGGCCAGGAAGCATAGCCACTATCTCCTCAGAGCAATTTCTAAGGAAACACACAAAGACATTTAAATTATCAATTTAAAGTTAAACACACTAGAGGTGCTACCATGCCTATTTTGGCCTTGATCAAAAGATGTTACCCTATTGCATAATGAAGGTGACACCTTTCTTATCAATGAGGAACTCAAAATCTTCTATTTTGAGATTAAATGAGTGAAAAAAACTTTGAAACCTAATTTTAAGGAATTTCCTAAAAGAAAATACATTGAAATTTGCATAAACTATTTAATTGGTATGCTTTAGCTACTCTTTAAAAGGGTCACAATGACAATCAAAATTACTATCACTTCTTATTATTTGAATATTAAGATTGTGCTGGGAATTCCCAAATTAAAATGTTAATAAGTAAGGGCTTCATCAGTTGATTTGGGAGACAAGGAAAAAAATGACTTAATTTCTTCAAAATCAAAATCTCATCAGAAGTACATTTATACAAATGAGAAATCTTTACAGGATAAAATAGGATTAAATTATTATATTTCATAACTTTTTCTAATTGTAAAAGGGCCCCTTCTCTAACAATCTCTTTAGGTAAATTTCTAAGACAGGAAATATTATGTTAGGGAACATGTTGAAAGATATCAATATATATACTGTTAAATTAACTGTTACATTTTAATATGTATTTGACATCTACAACTGTTATATATTTCAATGTATATTGTTAAATTTTTACCCCCAAAAAATCTGTCCCAGTGTACATGTTATCACATTTTTGAGTAATAAATCTGAAAATGAGAGTTTTCAGCAGAAATATTTAATTCAAATCACAATTAAAAATTAACTTGGAGTAACAACTCAGTATACTTATGTCCCATTATTTCCAAGTTATTAAAACATAAGGTTACAGAGATACATTTTCTCAGTTATATGGGGCTAAAGCTACACATCAAACTAAAATAAACAATGCTTTAAAGAAATGAGAGGATTTATCAGAAAGACATTGAAATCAGTTTACTTCCTAAATTATAAATCACACTTGGATTAGCATAACTAATTAATATTTATTGTGTGCCCATAATGCAGTATGCACTGATAAAATATGAGTAGCAGCTACTATTAAAGTAACACAACTATTAATGTTCGATCAATATATAAAATCCGGTAATGAGATTAAAAAAAGCCTGTCTCTGATCTATTAACTGCCAATCATCTGTGTGATACAAATGATGAATTCTCTTTTTTCACAGCTACCAATAGGAAAACAATGATCTTCCCAATCAAAATTGTGCTACTAAATTATCAAAATAAATCCAAGTTGAGGAATTATAGAAAAAGTAAAAGCTTAAAAACAGTGAAAAAAATTAGTCTTCTGTTCAGTGTATTTATAGTAAAGTTATATATACCTCATACATAAATCTAAAGCACTATTTCCAATTATATTAAATTCATTTAAAGTAAATAAAATAAGGTTTATGAGTGGGTTTTGCAAGCTAATAATGGTAGTTGTTATGATTATGAATAGTAACAATAAATGCTACAGAACATATCTGAAAATAATTACTTTTCCAGAGCCCCATAGTCTGACATTATTAATTACACATCAATCTATATATAGTAAGTTAATAGAAAATCAACTTTAATCTTAAAATTTACTGACCTTTACATACAAGGAAGGTCCTATTAACCCAGTGGGATATGAACTTTAAGTTGTTTTTTTCTAAGTCTTGGTAATAAGATGTGCTGAGTCAGCCTGATATTTTTATGCTGTCCTCTCAAGACCATTCACTCATTTATTCATCTCTTAACAAATGCCTACTGAGTGCTCTTATGCTACTGGCAATAGATGTTGGCAATACAAGGTGAGCAAAAACAGGCACCATCCAGGTCCTCATGGAATTTATACTCTACAGTTAGAAACAAACATTAATCAAATATCCTTCATAGCACTTATCACAGTGTGTGGATAAAAAGCTACAGCTATAAATGCGTGAAGGAAAGGTAGCCAGTGCTGCAAAGGGATGGGGCTGAACCTGGGGTTTGAGGAAGTATCATTTGAGTAGGAATCACAAGCACAAGTAAGCATTTACTAGCCAAGGAAGAAGGGAGAGGGAGAGGATCCTCTGCAGATGGCACAGCAGGCACGAAGGCTGTAGGGTGAAGAAGCTTGGCATGGCCAGGAAAGAAAAGGCCAGTTGCACCTGGAACACAGAGTGAGAGAGAGCGAGGGCGAGGGCGAGGGCCAGGGCCAGGGCGAGGGCCAGGGCCAGGGCGAGGGCGAGGGCAAGGGCGCGAGAGCGAGAGCAGGGCAGAGTGCTACAAAGTGAGGCAGGAGAGAACTGCAGGAGCTAGATCATGAAAGCTTGGTAGACCTGGTTAAGGATTTTGGTCATTATCATAAAGACAATGGCAGGGCATTCAAGGGTATTAAACAGAGGAATGATATCCTCAGATTTGGATTTTGAAAACAGCATTGTGCTTGCAGTCTGGAGAATGGGTTGAAGGAAATGTATCGAGACCATTTAGAAGGATATTGCAGCAGTCTACATGAGTGGGACTACAGCAGTTAGAGCTGGGAAGGTGACATGACAATGAATATGGAGAGAAGTAGGTGGAAGAGGTAATATGGACCGACGATGGTAATGGATTGGTTATGGGAGTAAGGGAGAGTGAGGGCTAAGGTTTTGGCCTGAACTCCTTGATGATAGAATGCACTGCGATAAGAAACAATGGAAGAGGAAGAGTCTTGTGGAGAAAGACTGTGAGTTTGTCCCAGGCTTCTTGGATCTGAGAAAGCTAAGAGAAAATGTGGAGAAAAGTGTGGTCTATATGGAACTTGAGACACGTTTGCAAGGCATACACCTGGGGTTTGCTGAGACAAGGCAACACTACTGGGATGTCCCTTCGAAAAATTTAAAACTGGATTTAAAATAAATAAAAGTTTACAAATTCAGTAAAGCTTTTACATAAACATATAAATTAAAGATATGTGCATATATCAGCACTTCATGCAGTAAAGCAAAACTCTGTATGTGACAATATGAAGGGAGCATTTCTGCATTTACAATTCAGTATTCCAAGTATATAGTTGGATAGCAATGTATTTTGCCATCAAAAACAAAAAAATAGAGCACAGTTAAGAAAAAAACAAATGCTATGCTCTCATAAACTAAAATAACAGCAGACAAATTCAGTTTGCCCTCCTATAAGGAAATAATTCAATAACATCCACAGACATTATATTTTTTGCTATAGAGTATCCTTGAATAAGTAAATTTTATTTCACTTTTTAGTTCAAGTAATTTATATTGACATTGAATAAAAATGAAACTGTTTTATAAAAAAAATTACTCTAACATTCTAAAAAGAATCTGGTTATTCAGATGAAACAGTTCTTATTTTTCCTACACTGTTTACTACTAGTTTTCCCAGCCTGGTTGCACTAAAATAATTCTTGGTCATCATTTTCAGTGAGTGTCCTACAGAGAAAAAGCCGAAGAGATTAAACAGGAGGATAGCATTCTTGTTACCACGCTGGATCAATTTCCAGTTATGGATTCCAATCAAGAGGAGATAGAAAACCTTTCAGAGCCACTTACATCAAATATTATCCCCTAATTGAAAATGTAATAAGTCAGCAGACAGTTCTTCCTCAGACTTGACAAAAATTGTGGTGATTATTATTCCTTCCTATCAACCACCTGAGGCTCATAAAAACCTGAATATATATAGGCTCATAAAGCTTCATATGATATGAAACTGTTCATGTCAAGGTCAATGTACACCTCCACGTGTCCAAATCCAATGGACACTGCTATCTCTTGATCTGCTTGGACTTTCTGCAAGCTCACTTGGCTCCTACAATATACACTCAGCTCCTTTATTCATGCAACACTCTTTTCTCTGTTTTCATAAGGATTTGCTCCTGCTCTCCCTCCTACCTTCAAGCTGCATTTAGTTGTTCCTCCTATTATCGCCATCTTTGAAATGCTGGATGTTGTCTTTACCTATGCACATTATCTCCCTCGTGATTACATCTGGGCACGTGGCTTTCTATTCCACACGATGATTAAAAAAAAAACATAAACAAAAATAAAACTATTAATTTCTATTACTGGCCTTGACTTCTGCTGTCTATCTGATATCTACTCTTCAATATCTCACAGGTGTTTCATCCTATGGGTCTAAAACGGGATTTACTTTTCTTCCATCCTTCTAAGTGTCCATTCCCCTTTTTGTTTCCACCAGATCCATAATGGCATCAACACCCACTTGTTATTTAATCTAATCTATAGGAAGAATTCTTAATTCCTTCTCCCACTCCCATCCCTCCACCCTCATATCCAGTTTATTGGCTAGTCCATCAGGATTCACTTCCAAAGTGTATCTCAAACCATCATCTTCATCTCTTGCCTGGATTCTGACTCTCTTCTCCTCATCCTCTACCTATTTCTACTCTAAACTCTAGAACCCATTCTCTGTAGTCACCAGAGTGACCTTTAAAACTATAAATCAGCTTTCATGACTGCCATATTTGAAACATTCTATGGTTTCTTATTTTCGTAGGAATAATATCCTAACTGTTTACTGAGCCCTACTAGGTCCTTCACAGTCTGGGCCCTCCTACCTTTTCAAACTTATTCCCTTCTCTTCTCACTGTGCATTAGCTGCAATAGCTTCTGTAGTGGTACCTAAAAAATGTAAAGTTGTTTTCTATGTAAGGGGTGTTGTCCTTGCCATTTCCTTTGCCTTTCCCATGGCTACCTCCTTCTTTTTCATCCTTCAGGTCTCATCTCACATCTCACCTCTCCCAAAAGACTTTCATGACTACACACACAAACATATTCTCAAAACTAACCCAGTTTTCCCCCTTTTCTAGCATTTTCACATTGTTTCTGTGTTTACTTGCTCACTATTTTTCTACTTGTCTCCACTAGAAGATGTGCTTCCAACATGTCAGGACCTTGCTGGTCTTTTTTTCTCTGATTCCTCTGTGCCTGGCACTTACAAGACCTAAATAAATTGGAATGCCCCACAGATTTTTTTTTAAATACTAGAAGTAACTATAAAACCTAGCATTAACTGTTATTCAACAAAATATAAACTTGTAAATACTTTACAAAAATTCATCTTCTGTTAATACATCTCCTTAAAGAGGTTATGTTGTCTTTTGACCATTTCAGGAAATATCTCTTATTTTAAGTTTCTTGGATGATTTTAGCAGTTAATAAATGTTTAACCTCATATAAAATTTCCTAATGATAATGGTCATATTTCTAACCCAATTTAACTGCAGAAGGATAACAAATTCATATTAATTATCATTTCAGTAAACGAGAAATATTTCCCACATTTTTGAACATTTGCCTTTTAAGAATTTTGAAAAAATAGCAAAAGTCCTCTATTGAGAAGGTAGACTTCAGATGATGCAGTAAGTAGGAAAAGTCCTATCTATTCTTTTCAAAAGAAGTTTAAAGCTGAAAATTGAACCACAAATATTTACTTTCAACATTCAAATGGATTTGTGTCTCTTCAAAAGTGAACGTATGATAGTAGACTAAACCAAAGGAGGCAGTGAGCTCTCAAGCCATTTGGGTGCAGATTTTCATCCTGCAAATCAAGGCATGAAGTCATTCTGCTAACACAGACTGTGCCAGTTAGTAAGTCAGCTGTTGTTTCTCAGCCTGGCCCCATCCTTCTAAGTCCCAGCTCTGCGATGCTGCAGCTGAGACTGTGAAGCTACATCTATCTCTTCTTGACAGTGGCTCCCTGTTAGATCCAGCCATCAGAGCACTGGAAGGAAATTGGCAGCCAGGAAGAGAGAAGAAAGGACCTGCTCCTTCCTTTTTCACTCATTGTTACTATCAGAGTAGCCCTGGCCACAGCCCTGGCCTGCAGCAGCAGCAGTTGGCCTCAGTGTCTACTGTCTATTTTTTGGCATGCCCAGTACAAGTCTCATTGTACCTCAGAGGTACCAGCTCAGGAGGCCAGCTCTGCAGGGACCCTCCCGCAGCTTGTGAGCTATCCGCACCAGCTGGGTATAGGTCTAAGCCTAAATTTTGTGGAGTCCCTTCTTTGAGTTTCTGGGATCTGACAAATCTAACCTTTTAAATTTTCCCCCCATCCTTAGGATTGCTGTTAACACACAATTCTCTTTTTATTCTCTTTTTGACTTTGTAGCTGTCTAACAGGTGTATAATCAATTCCCCTTTCCAGCTGAAATAATGACTAAAGATTCCCATTACCTGACTAGACCCTGGATAACAGAGAACAAGAGAGGGAATGTAACCATGTTGAACTGAAAAGAGAAATGAGCCAGAAAATATGAAGTATCAGTGTATTTTATGAATAAGTTGGAGGGCTTTTTTTTATGTTAGGCATCTCATAAATTGTACCAACAAATGTAAACTATTTTGAGGACACAGGCTGGTTCTTATTGATACCATGATGCTGAGAACCATTATTTATTCTGTCACTATGCTTTCATTGAGTGCTGTGTGAGGTACATAAAATGTTTAAATTATAATTCACACAATAACCTAATACAAGAGGTATATTTCCATTTTACGTACACACACGCATAAAGAGAAGATAGAGTAGATGATAAAACCCAAGGTTACACAGCTAATAAATAACTAAAATTTCAACCCCTGTCTTTAGGACTCCAGTGTTCTCATTTTCCATTAGACCAGGCTGCCGTCTCTTATTGGTAATTGTACTTTGTAATTGTTCTCTCTTATTTATATTAAATGCCTTTGTATTCCTTTCCACAAATAAGATAGAAAATGTATAAATAAGTGCTCAGTAAATGCTTGTTGAGTAGATGACTGAATAAACAAACAGAAACTTTCTGAAAACTAAGATGACTTTTATTTGGTAGCTATTTGATATTGGCATTGGTAAATAAAACTGCGAACATTTCTGTTGCAAAGGTAACACAGCTTTGTGGCTACAATTCAGTGATAGCACCATTCTAATAAATAAAGGGCCCATCTGCTGACTAGGATAACACTGGGGAGGGGGGAACAAACTGAATCAACTTGATAAATGAAATTTCCAATACGGTGATAAATTCAGGATGTTACACTAACTCAGAGGAAGGGACTTTCAGTGTTCAAGGTGACAGCCAGGCCCTCATTGCACACTGTGTAATCAAAGTGTCTTGAGGTGCAGGTGCTTTGCCCTAATGACTCTATAGAGCTGTGATAGCAGTTGAGAAAATCTGTTTTATGTGATCTGATTCTTTCTTTTGACAGAAAAGCTTCCTTTTGTGAACAAGAGGGTTTTGGAACATCACCAAATGATTTTTCATACCCAGATTAAAAGCTTTAATCTTGAAGACTGTTCCTAACTAGTATTCAGCCTGAAATAATGAATGCAATTAGAATCTTAAAGAACAGAAATAACCTGGCACTGACACTGCAATGTGGAGGTATGTTTATTTATTATAGTTGAATAGAAGAGAGAAATGGATGTAGGAGAAAAATAATATATTTGGTATTAAAATATGTGTGTGTTCACAAATAGTACTGAACAATTCAGAGCTAATCCAATGGTCTATATTCACAACTGATACCTAACAATTTACTGCTAATCCAATATTCTACTGGTTGCATGCAAAGAGAAACACTGCATTCCATAATAATAAATAATTTCATAAATTAAATCCCAAAGCATGTGATACATGATATGATACAAGTCATATGATGCAGCTTCCATGAAAAAAAACCTTCAAGTGCTTTGGGATAAAAATATTAATTCTAGGCCGGGCATAGTGGCTCACGCCTGTAATCCTAGCACTCTGGGAGGCCGAGGAGAGTGGATCCTTTGAGCTCAGGATTTCGAGATCAGCTTGAGCAAGAGCGAGACCCTGTCTCTACTAAAAATAAAATGCAATTAGCAAGACAACTAAAAGTATATAGAAAAAATTAGCTGGGCATGTTGGCGTATGCCTGTAGTCCCAGCTACTCCGGAGGCTGAGGCAGAAGGATTGCTTGAGCCTAGGAGTTTGAGGTTGCTGTGAGCTAGGCTGACGCCATGGCCCTCTAACCTGGGCAACAGAGTGAGACTCTGTCTCAAAAAATAAAATAAAATAAAATAAAATAAAATAAAATAAAATAAAAATAAAATAAAATAAAATAATAATAATATTAATTCTAGACATTATATAACTGTAAGGTAAAAAAATATTTTTAATGTTGGAGAAGATAGAATTTTTTATTGGGAATACCAAAAGATTTTACAAAATTTTTAACATCAACAGAGTACTGTAAATTATCATTAACATTTTTGAATTAGAGAATATACTAACTTGAAATATTTAGTAAAAATGTAACTATATACAATATAAATGCATATATATAAACAATATGTGAATGCCTTCATATTTATACATTGTTTATATACTCTTTGAAAGACCTTGATTATTATATTATACCAAATTTAGTCCATAGTCATATATATGAATATATTCAGTATAATATATATTGAATTTATGGGTTCTAGAGACTCATAAAAATACACCCTGAGGAATGATGGAAATAATGAGCAGCTCCAAAGAGTCATTGATTCATGTCCCAGCTCATCTTTTCAGAATACTCAAAAGTTTACCGTCATTTTGTCAATTTCCCTCACTTTACACATGAAGAAATTGATATCCAGAGAAAAAAATATATATCGACAAGACCACAGGTAAAATTAGGAGCAGTGACATGTCTCTTGATACCCACTACTGTGTTTTTATCCCTCCATCCCATCCTCGGTCTTAGTTTTCTCAACTGGAAAATCGTAATAACTCCTGTGTAAAGCACACATCTTTTGTAAGGATCCAAAAATGTTGTCCTTGTGAAAGCACTCCCTAAACCATGAAGTACTCTACAGATATAGGGATTGTGGGAGTACAGATGTGATACACATCTTCAGTCTTGTTTGCAGTACACACTGAGGCTAAAACTTTAAGCCCAAATATCTAGATGCATGAGTCAATGTACTGTGTTTAAACAGAAGTGGCTTCTCTCATTTATTAAATTGACATATTTGTGCTTTGTAGGACTAATTCACTTCTGTAATACCCCGGGCCAAAAAATATCTCTTGCATATGGCCATATCTGGGGTTTTACAGAGCTTATTTAAAAGGGAAAACCCAGTCTAGAGCAGACAGGGCTGCTGCCCTGCTTCATAGTCTTCTGGACCAGCTGAGTAAACCTGAGGCTGAGAACACCTTCTGGTTAATGTCCTGCCTTGAGCTCTTAGAGCTCTCTTTTTCTCTTCCTTCCTCTGGCATCCCCAGAGCTTGCACAGAAGTGCAACCTAGAAGTCAACTGAGGAGATGCACAAAGGTGACTTAACACCCTTGGGGCAACTTCAACCAGTGGGGCGGATGAAAACATTATTCTGAATGTTTGTGATCTAAATTCCACCTACAAATTCACTCTGAAAATTGAACTATCTCTGCAAAAGACCATGGGGCAATTAGTTAACAGTGGCTGCTTTAAATTTTGGTCTTCGGGGTCTATTATTAATTATGTGAGCAAGGTAATGTGATGCATGACTGGTAACTACATAAACACACAAAACACTGACCAGTACAATTATCACTAGCCTATACCATTCACAGAAATTTAATTAATCCTTTGATTAATCCTTGAACCCTACAACACCACAGGTCTCTGCTTTGGTGAAGGTTATTTGACTATGCCTACTGTGTGAAATGATGTGTTCTTTTTTAAAACAGAGCAATGTCAATTGTGGCTCATAAGGTCAGCTTGGTTATAATCCCCTTTAGGGAAGTGCCCCTGAAATATGACATATAATCCTTCTCAGCAACTCCTTCCAACTTATACCTACTCAGAAAACTCACTACCTATACTTTGTGCTGGGCCTTGGAATGGCCTTTGGCCCAAAGTAGTAAAATTGCAGAAGGGCTGGAAAATGTGTATTATGAACCAAATTATCACCTGGTATTGATCGAGCGCACTGAAGGCTTTGGCGTGCTTGCAGCCTATAAAACTGAACAAAAATAATTTTACCTGCATTTTTATTCCTAAACAAATAACAAGTGTATATGTAAAAGATGCACATAAAGGGAAAAGTGTTGCCAATTGAAATAAAGGGAAAAATGTTGGTTTTATTATTTATGTTAGATACGTTGTTTAGGTTTGTTTGAATATATGTATATGTGGATAAAAGCATGTTTTAGCATCCTAAGTAATCATTTTAATATTTCTATTTTCTTCTAATAAAAATGCAATCTAAATTTCATTTTATATGGTTTTCTTTTCTATTTCAAATCACAGTTCTTTTTTTTAAGTTTAAGCACTTTAAGTTTGATTTCTCATAATCATATTTATGCAATGTAAAGAAGGCAAATACAATTATATTCCTAATATAAATGAATCTGGATGGTTTATAAGTTTGCATTAGAATTTGCAGTGCCTGGTTAATCCACAGGATTCAGAGACATTTTTCCAGAGGTCAGGTTTTTGGTCCTTTTGGTGGCTGTCCTGGATTAAAAGAAAGGCTGCAAAATGATGTTATTTCTCTTTTATCCCCCAGAACACCTGTATCTAATTAAAGAAAAACATGGATCCTTTAATTAAAATTTAGTTTAACCATATCATATACATATGGCAAATTTTTTATTGTACTTATTTTTTAAATTTCTTTTTCTAGCTGCATAATTATATGAGACCTTAATGCCATATAGTTTTTGATAGAGGCCTTAATTTCTAATGGATGAATTAAAACAGTTTTTATGAAAATTTTAAATAGAAAACTTAATTAGAAAAAGAAAACATAGCAGGGATACCTTTTAAAAATAACACTGTTTTGAGGTTTGCTGTTTTAAATACAGGCAAGTATAAAGAAGAATGCTCCAATATCTTGCCACTCAGATAAACCCTGATAATATATATTTTTAAAAATCAAACTACTTAAAAATAGATAATCAGAATGCTCTCTTTCTTAACAGTCCTACTTATTAAAGAAATCTACTGTTAAAAGTTCTTGCAAATACCACTTATCTCCAGGTGTTGCAGTAAGTCACCTGAATGTGGCTGCTCCTCCATCCATCTATCTACTTACTCATCCTTAAAAAAGAGGAATAATCCTATGAATGCTATGCAACCTAATCCATTTCTTGGTGCTTAATATACACTGGAACATCTTTCCACATCAGTACAAATTTGCCTTATGTTTTGCAGGCTACATGGTATTTCAATATTTAGAAAATATATACTTTTTGAAGCTGGACTTGATTGTCAGAGAATGGGCTAAACTAAATTTAATTTAAAAAACCCTTCTAGGTAAGTTATTTCATAGAGTGGGAAAGCAAAGATATAGTAAAGAAATCTTGGAAACTTGCTGTCTTACTCCCAACCAAATGCCTCCATTCATATTGTCCAAGAACACCATGGAATAGGCTCTGTAGCATTTCTTTAGGAAAACATTATTTAAGGAAAGTATTATCTGAAAAAGAGCAGCCCTTAAATCCTCTCTATGCACTGTAAAGAGTATTAATTCTGCTCTGTCTCCCCCCATAAACCATATTCTGCAATAACCTCCCTGGCATGAATAAGAAAACCGGGAGTGCTGTTATGTCTATAGTACTCACTCTACAGACAGCATCAGTTACTACTTAAATCTCCTGGATACATAGGAAGATAAAGCAGAACAAAGATTTTGTTTCAGGTGAGATCATGGAACACATGATAGGGGCCAAGACTCCTTGGTAAACTTTATCTTGCTTGTCCTGTCAACTTACCTTTGCTTTGACTTCATATTACATCTCTTCAAGTGAACTCACTGTCAACTTTGAACTTTCCCCAGGCAGAGTAAAAAAAAGGCTACATGCTCTTTAACGATGACAGATGTTCTTTTCTATGGACCTTTGAGGGTAAGTCACCTTTAGTATAAACACTTTTATTTATTTTTTTCACTCTTTACAGTATATTCAATGACAAGGCTATCAAAAAACGATCATTTGAAATATAAAAGGTAATTGAGAAAAGATTGATGAAGATTCTTCAAATTAATTATTAAAACTCAAGGACTGACCATCTCTTTAATGGGCATTTAATCTTGGATCAAACGATCTATTCCATTTAGATCATATTAGATATGACAGATCAAAAGAGGAATAAATACTTGCTAGCCATGATTATCATTATGTATGTAGCTGGTAAAGGTATTAGAGCTAAACAATCCGTGTAAGACTTAAACCTGCACCTTTACCTCCTTAGAAATTGCCCATAATCATTTGAACGTCTCAGTGATGATTTTCCTAAGGGACCAACAAGTATATCATCTCTCCTATTCAGTTGTTGCATTGCCCTAATTGCCTCTTTTTTTACATACATATTTGGAGGTTTGAGAGGATGGAGAGAGTAGAATCAGGAATCTGAGGCCCCAGCATCCAATTTTATATGCTTACTAAAAAGTAAAATGGAAAATTCCTGATTTGAAATTCTGTAGGGTTAGGAGATCACCTCAACAAAAAACCAGGGTATTCCTCTCTAACAAAGGGTATGGATTTTGGTGCACTGTGCCCACTGCAATCCTAGGATTTACTGTAGCCTTTGTCTTTAAGAGCACAACCTTGGGCCTCCTGGTCTCCATTTCCATTGGAGCCCACTCAAATTGCTTTTTTTTTATTCTTCTGATAATGAATCCCTAAGAGTTTAAAAGTGAATTCAACTCAACTTCTTTTGAAAACTGAGAATGAACAAAGAGACAGCTTTGGCCAGTAGAAAGAAAATAATGATACTTGCTCCCCTCAGGCCCAACTCTCCCTCAGCAAAGAAATAGGGCTGTTAAGAGGTGAAGACCTAAGTCATGTTAATAAAGAATTTGTACTGTCCTACCCTAGACTCTGGTACAAATTTCCAGTGCTTAGAATTCCAAATGCTAAAAAATGCAAGCTATTTCAAAAATAGATTTCAGTACTTGAGAAAATGTCAGGCCTCTTAGTGGATGTGCTCATCCTCATACACACACACTCTCTCTCTCTCACTCTCTCTCTCTCTCTCCTTCTCTCTCTCTCTCTCTGAACCAAACAGTATCAACAGGAGAACTGGAAATTCACAGAGACTTTTTAGGCACTTAAAGCATGGTGTCACTACTCTTTTGTACCCCAATCTTTATAAGCATCTAACAGAAGCAATATTGTATATGTCTGTGTGTTTTACCTTCCTGATATCCACTCTTCCCTTCTTTCTCAAGAAGGAAAACCTAAGCAAGGAGCACAGGTATTAAAATGCATTTTCTGTTCTTCTTTTCTGATAGAGGTGGCCAATAAGATATAAGAGAAAGTAATTGGGTGGGATTTCCAGGAAAGCTCCCCAAAGGATGCTGATGAATTGAGAGATCATTGTTTTTGACCTTTACTCCTTTTTCCTTGATCCCCCTTTTTCCTCTTTGGAACACAGAGGTGATAGATGGAGCTCTAGCAAGTCATCTGTGACCACGAGTCAATGCTGAAGATGGAAAACAGATATAAACAGAGAAAGATGACAAAAGGAGTCTAAGTCCCTAATGATCATGGATCTCCCATATTACTCCTGGTCTACCTCCTTCTCAGGTAAGATTTAAAAAAAAAAAAACATCAAAACAAAACAAAACAAAAGGGCACACAACAATAAGAACCCCAAATAGTCCTACATTTAGTTGAAGCCATAGTAATTCAGGGTTTCCATTACTACAGCCTCTTGATTAGGTGTGTATCAGCGTTTGAGGAGGGGCATTGGAGAGAGTGGGCATGGGAGAGGTGAAATGGATGGGAGAGGACTGCCAGTGAAGCTCACCCATAGTCCTTAGTCTTGACTCCTAGTCCCAGGAGGGGATGGTCCCTCTCCTCTTCCTTCAAAATATGACTTCATTGGAATTCATTTAAACACAATGGAAGCATTTCTTCTTGTCATCATATCATTAAAGGCTGTTTCCCTGTTCATTTAAATTATGTAGCTTACAGAAGTGTGCAAATGCAGAAATGGGTAGGGAAGGGGAGAGGAAACGATGGACGTTTCACATAAAACAAAGTGACTTACACAGTCTAGGTCCTTAATTCTTGGAGCAGTGGTCAGCACCAACCCAGATTCCTAAAATGATCATTCTCAGAGTCATGTGCGTGCATGTGTGTATGTGTGCACATGAGAGACCAGAAGATACAGAAAGAGAGAGAAAGAATTTATTTCTTTTAGCATGTTGCCATGAGGAAGTTAATTGAAATTACAGGGTAACTAAATGGGCACTGTCTTTTTTCCTAAGGAGAAAATGCTTTTTACAGAATTTACTGTCATTCCATTGAGTTTTCTTTCTCTTTAGAAAAGTAAGTTACAAGGCATCCCTGCCCCCAGGCCCTGTTTTCTCATTTGTAATGATATACTATATGTAAAGTTATATTACTAGCACTTGCAATTTCCCAACTGCTTGTTGCCTGATGTCACACAATTATAACTAACAGAGGCTGTTACATCTACCGCTCTAAGGCACAGGGAGTATTAATTCAGCAACAATGCATATAATAAAAGACTTTAATTTTAATGACAGCTTGAGTGCAAACTGTTAGAAAAATCGAGTGTATGTTTTCCCTATCCAGGTAATCAAATCCGGTGGCCTCTCAAAACAGCATCCTTTTCCAACCCATTTTGGATTTAAATTATTCAACAAGCATCTAGCAAATATCTACTATATGTGAAGCATTGGAGTGGGTGCTATAGTAATCGAACACCAGCATCTGCCCTTCGGGAGTTCACAATCTAGTATGAAAAAGGGAAATGCCTATTAATCTAAATTAATAAAAGACAGCGTATGCAAAGGGCCAAAATGAGACTAAACTGAAGTGCCACAAACCACAGGAGAAGGATGTGTGAAGGATCTCGGAGAGGTGGGCTTTGGAGAAGGACTGCAATAGGCATGTATAGAAATGGAAACACATTCCAGCAAAGGGACTCAACCTTTACCCTAAAACAGAGGCTTGGAG